TTAATTATAATTTTAAAATCTACTTTGACTTTTCAACAATAACGTAGTTTTCTCTCTTCATTTTTGTCGTTCCTTATTTGTCAATTAAGCCGGATTTCCACCAGTCGGACAAAACCACAACAAAACAGCAACTGTGGCAATTTCAACAACTCAAAAATTTGACAAAATAAGAATTGAAGAGTTTGTGTCGCTGGCGACTGTTTTTGTCAACTACGAAAAGTTTCTGTATTTTGTCTGTGTTTTTGTTTCGTCTACGAACACGCCAATTCTGATACTATACTACTGTCAATACTGACATAACAACGTATCATGTCTGAAATATCGAAAAAATCCTATTTAACATAGTTGTATAAATTTGAATAATTGTTCCATAAATGTGTTACATCATGAGTCTAATTGTGAACCAAATACTTTTGGAGGGGTATATATTCAAATCAGTAATCAGTACAAATAAATATCTATCAATTTACCCAACGAAATTTTTGTTTTGCATAATGAATCGATATATTTATGTACGTCATGATAACAAATAGTTTCAAATTTTGTTACATCAATGCCCTCAAATTCCAGTATTGTAAGTGATCAAAAATTATTTAAATATTATTATGAATGGAAAATTACGGTCGAGGAAAATTTATGATCTACTGATTAAAGTTGAAATACCAGCTGACATCGAATGATGTATATACACAAAATATTATATGGGGGATCCCTCCCGTTCACTGTTTTTGGTGGTAATCACAAAATTGTAAAAATTTATTGGCGCTCCGGGGCGACTTGCTTTTTTAGCTGCAGAAAAACCTACGGCCCCAAATCATTTGAAGATCTTGATCTTCCAATGTCATAGAGTCTCCAGAGGCTCCAATAAATTCAAGATATTGCCATAATATTTAGTGACACGATCGTCAAACTTAAACCAGTCCGTTTTGTATTTGACCAATACGTATTAATGACCAGATTCAACGCCAGAACCACAGTGAACTCTGACTGCATGAAGAAGATAATCAATGAACACCAGTATATACAGGATGTAACATAAGTATGTTAAAATATTCAAGTTACGTATTTCTGCTGCAATGTTTCGTTTCGGTGATACAGATTTAATTTTTTTGTTCGTTTTTTAAAAATAATTTCTGCAAAAATAAGTTATCTGCGCGAAATTGTACCCAGGGGTTTTTTGACGTGGGAAATTGCTCGTTTTTGATAGTAAACTTTTGGTACTTTTAATAAAACAACCTCCCAATTTTCCCAATCCAAATAAAAAAGGTACACTTCCTCAATAATGCTAGGGTGATTTCTTTTTGAGTTTTTTGAAATGTTAGTTATTTGTATCTTGAAAACGAATGACTTTTCGATGACCATTTTATGTGGTAAAGTTGTTTATTTTGACGAGACCCATCACATACTTAGTTTTTGTAATGTTCTCACCTTTTTACTTAGCGCCCTAGGAGCTAAGTAATATGCATCGATATAGAAAATTGTAAATATCTCGAAAACGGTCACCTCCAGCGTTGTTTACGAAGTATACCATTTTTACTTATAAAATGTGTGAGATTTTTCATGAAAACTACCAAATGTGCACTGTCAAAAAAGTTAGGGCAAATTGAAATAGATAATCACAGCATATGCAGCGCTGTCTAGATGTTACATGAAAATTAATACAAAATTATGATTTCCTACGTGAAAAAATCTCCAGATACCAAATTTCGTGCAAATAACTTATTTTTTGTCAAAGTAATTTTTTAAAAACGTACAAACCATTCATTTTCAACACCCTGTATACCCGGACACAAGTTTATATAGTACCTTTTTCTTAATATTGCTTCAGTAATGCATAATTTGAATATTTTAACGTGTTTATGTCACACCCTGTACAACATAAAAGTGTTTTTCTATTGATCTTTGCTGTGTTCACATGAATTCGAAAGCGATTCATCGTAGATGAATTGTTAGGACCCTCTTTTATCGTAGGTATATATAAAAACAAAACACGCAATATCGCAAAACATTCGTTGAAATATCAACATTATTTATTTAGTGAAGTTTTCTCTGAACAAAAAACGTCTATATCTCAACTCAGACGTCGCATTTTGCCGTTTTTCTACGAATAATTTTTCCCATCCGCATTAATAAAAACCGTCGTTTATTCAGCCGAAAAAATCGCGATCTAAAGATCGTGACAGGCACCCTTTATGCAACATATGTGCAGAAATAAGAAATACCATCAGAGGAGCACATTTTATCAACGTTTGTTTTGCTATTTTTCATCTGTTCTCTTGACGGGTGACGTCCTATAGAGCCATCAGTAGGTTGTGAAATATGGCCACAAGCATAACCACAATCTTGCAGCCTGTTTTGTAGACAGACGTATGGTTGCATTGCGAATTTATGAACCACTTAGTGAGTTTTCGTGAAATAAAGGTACACTTTTACGGTGTTTTCTCGAGGAATGGCTGCTTGGTACGGGTATATGGAGGTTGTACATTACTGAATGGTCATTTTTCCACTCCTTGTTTTTTACGTAATGGCTACTTTTACAGGTGGAATAAAAGTGGACTCTCGGAGATATATTTTTGTACAGGAGTATTCCATAATAAATTATATTACGCAGAAAAAAACTTTCTTAGCTTTACAGATTCCATAACCAAAAGTTGCTCAAACTGCAAATAAAACAATAAATTGATCTAGTGTGACTAGTCAGTAACAGATCTTGAGAGGTCAGGTCAGTATATGTTCATTATACAAAACCAACAGATATCGATAACTGTCTATCACAGTGCAGGCAGTAAAAAATCAGCAAAACAGCAGATGAAGCTTAGCTGAAATGAAACTGCTGTGGTTTCTTTCAAATCTTTTGCTATATATTTATTGAAATATTATGGTTCATCCACAAATTACAAATATAATATCAAATTTGGAAAGAACAACGTCGAAGGCGTCATTCTCTTCTAGATGCAGGGTGAAAACTGTGGAGAAACAGTTTAATATCAACAGGGCGTCTAGTCCTGTTGAAGTGCCCGTCATCGTACTTGAAAAGTGGCAAACGAACTCGCACCAGTACTTTGCAGACTTTTCAACCTGTCTTATAAAAAAGGGGTTTTTCGTTCTTGTTGGGAAATTACTCGCGTTCAGCCTTCCAAAAAGGGCAAGAAAAATTTTCCAAATAACTTTAGACTAATCGCTTTGTTAACAGTGATATTGAAAATTGTGGAGAAAGCTACCATATCCCTAAATATTTGGAAGGCTTCAACATCTTGAGCGATCACCGGTATGGTAACAAAGATCAACAGGTGACGTATGTCACCCATATTTGGAATAACGCAATCGAGAAACATGGAGAGTCAAGAGCTGTTGCGCTTGATATTTCTAAGGCCGTTGACCGTGTATGGCATGAGGGTTTTGCTGGTCAAACTTCGATGCTATGGCTTCGGATTGTGTGGCTCTCCAGCTTCCTGAAAGAGCGTTCCCAACAAGTGGCCGTCGATGGATATTTCTCTAATACTTTCACCATCAACGCTGGGGTTCCCCAGATATCCATATTGTCTTCTACCCTTCTACTAAGAATACGATATATTGCTTTGCTGACGACAGCACACTTGTCTCGTCATTCCATTTGGATTCCAGGACATCGGTTGTGGATGTACATCTTCACCGGCATCTTAATGAGGGTCTAGAATTGATTTCCAATTTGGGTAAAAGTAAGCAGGTTCAATTCAATCCTATGAAAACTCAGACATCGGTTTTCTCAGAAAAGATATATAACTTCGAACCGAAAATAATACTGTCAGAACAGACAATTCCGCTTTCTGCTTTGATAAGTTTATTGGGGGTTAAAATGTACACAATTGGCACAATTGTAATTGCAAAGGCTGCTTCTCAAAAGCTTGGAACATTATTCCGAACCAGAAAACTGTACACACCTCAGCAAATTTTGATGCTTTATAAAGCTCAGATCAGACCTTTTTTTGAGTATTGTTCTCATGTGTGGAGCTCCGCCCCTAGGCATAACCTGAAGCTGGGGGTTTCATCCAGAAAAGAGCCATCCGCCTAATTGGAGACACAAACATCACTTGCAACCTTGATAGTCTGGAACATTGAAGAAAGCTTGGAGATTTGTCTCTCTTCTATAGATACTTTCACGGGAACTGTTCAAGTGACTTGGCATATTTGATTCCACCAAGAGCGGTACTCATCAGAAATACTCGACGGACTGTGGCTTCTCATCGTTTGGAGGTTCACTTCAGTACACCTCGAACTTCACTGTTTAATAACTATTTCCTGTGGAGACCTGAGAACGTTTGAACGTTTTTATCGAATGGATTTAATCCCCAGCGATTCAAATCCAACGTGAATCGCCTGTGGTGATCGGTTTTATGCATAAAAAATAATGTATGTTTTCGTTATCCATTTCGAATCAATCATAACTATCGAACTCCAGAGTTTAATAATCACCGTAATATGAAGTTAACCAGAACGGAATATTACCGAAAACAGTAGGAAATAATACTCCAATATACTCTTCAATGTCAACTAATCAATATGCTCCATCATTTCAGTTGGACGAAGCAAAAAGCAATCATAGTCGAAATACTTCAACTTCAAAATCAAATTTTGTGATTCAGCAATAATTCTGATTTCCCATTCATAGTCAATCAGTGCCCAAGTTGATATTTCAGTTACTCCTGTGAGAGCAGGACTTTTGGAATCACTTGACAAGTCAAGTTCTTTTGGATGATGAATTTTGTTGAAGTATTTTACTGATCACAAGGATACATGCAATTTTTTGTAATGTACAGTCTGCATGAAGTTTCTAACGCTATAGTTCCTTATCAAAACAATTATAAGACACATCCTACCTCATACTGGTTTGAAAATATAATCTTGTTTTCAAACTGTATAATCCTGAGTGAAAAAAAGGTTCAATACTTTTCAGTGATAGCTTGTTATCAAATAATCATTTTACTTCCGATGATATTTTCTCACCTATATTTTTGTTTCAGTTACGTTCGTTTCCTCCGAAGACGGGATTAGGGACACAAGGGAGGGCGAAGACGTAACGCTGGAGTGTCGGTTTCCTCCTCAATCGTCCAGGGATACTTTAACTTATTATTGGGCCAAGAAAAACAAGCAGACCCACGACAACGTAGCCATCGGAAACGTTCCGCTGGATACCAATTATAGGTGAGTGATCTTTTGATCAATTTTTATTCTGATTGTAATTAGTTCTGGAGTTGAGCAACTTGATGTCGGTAGATCCACGCTGGAGTCCAGTAATTGACTTGCGTTCGACGGGTTTGTAATTGGAAGTTATATTTTGATTCGTGGAGTTCGGACTGTGCTCAAGCACAACATTCAAACATGTCGAATTCAGGCTTCATACGAGTGTATATACAGAGTGACAATTTGAAAACTTACAATGGGTATAACTGAGCAACCCAATAAAGTATTGGAAATCACTGAAAGCAACTTAAAGCAAACATAATGATGTATTTGAATTGAAGGGGTTATATTTTTAGGAGTGATTAATTTTTGAGTTACTGAAAGTTACTTCTTTGCATGATCTACACATCCATGTATAGAGTTACTTATTTTCAAATTGATTACTTCCTTCCTTTCTTTGGAAGATTCCCCCATCTTTTTTTGTATCAAGATGGAGTAGTAGGAAGCCAAAAACTTTCTTTCTCAAAAATTCATCCTAAAAATATAACCCCTTCAATTCGAATAAGATTCCTCTTGGCTGGGTTTGAATCAAATAGGTGAATGAATGTCATTACGATGTCATCGATGACATAAGCATATCAAGCTTATTCCGTGACATTAAAAATTCGTAATTCAATAATGAATTGTGTGTATTTTTTATAATGTTATCCAATTTGGTACTGAAGAGCCTTAGGGCAAGTGTCTTACGGCGAAACATCGATGTATACCAGTGAGGATGACAGTGTTCCATGTAAGTGCAATTTGTTACCATTCATTTAAAGTAGAACTCATGTGAATGAGTTTGAAATACAAACTGAGTAGAGAAAAGTATCTTTTGTATAATTCAGTGTTCATATAGAAGTATTTGTTTCGAAATATTTTTTTCTAGCGTGTAATTCAATGTTTATATGAAAGAAGCTGTATCAGGAGGACTTTCTTTCAGTTTGTGTCTGAAAGTTACTTTTTTGCATGATCTACACATCCATGTATAGAGTTACTTATTTTCAAATTGATTACTTCCTTCCTTTCGAAGATTCCCTCATCTTTTTTTCTATCAAGACGGAGTAGTAGAAAGCCGAACTCTTTTTTTCTCAATAATGATGTAATAGCTAACCCAACTTTATATTCTTAAATGGCAACTCCCTACTTGTAAAACCTCGTCTGAAACTATTGTTTGAAGGTGATTGACAATGTTTCATGATGACTTTCACTAGTTCGGACTTTCATTGTCTAATATATAAAAATGATTTGAAATCCCTGAAACAACTAAAAAAGAAGAATCAAAAATGAATAGCTGAAAATAACAAATATATTAAGCAAATATAACCTGAAATGAAATACTAGTGAAATAAAATACAAGTAAAAATAGAACGATTGAACAAAAATTATAATTAAAGAAATAGAAATGTAAATAAAAATAAAAAAGTTGAAAGATTCCAAGCCACGTTAGTTCACGACGTTTCGATTGTTAGTATCTACAATCGTCTTCGGGTGATGACTGGACTGATTCCTCCGAGAAATGACTATTTATGGGTCGTTCGAGTACTTTCACTTATTCCCGATTTCCATTTGTTTCGCTTCAATGGGAGATGACCGTTTGGCGGGAGTTGGTCATTTTTCGCTTGATGATAGGTTTCCATATGTTGCGTATCTCTACCCTAGCTTGGCTGAATACGTTGTTGGACAACATGTATGCGGCTTCCTTGAATTTTCTCCTAAACCAATGTTCCTCTCTGTGTATGATCTCAGCTTGGGACCACTCGATGTTGTGTTGATGGGTCCAAACATGGTCTGCTATTCCTGATTTGCTGATTTCCCCTCGCTGTGTTCTCGTGAGGCTGCTACCTGAAGCAGGTTCTGATGAGAACAGGCTTCAGAAAAAAAACAAATCTGTTTTTTTGAATGGGAAAGTGATAGCGACTGTTTTTTGGGATAGTCATGAAGGTGATTTAGTCGATTATCTTCAGAAAGAAAAAACCATTACTTGACAAGCTAAAGGCAAGCATTACTTGACAAGCTAAAGGCAGAACATGCGGAAAAAACAGCCATATTTGCAGAAAAAAATCCAGTTTCATCAAGACAACGCAACGTCTCACACCTCGGCGGTTGCCATGCGAAAATCAACGAAATACGGTTTGAACTGTTGAATCATCCGTCTCACTCACCAGATCTAGCCCCAAGCGACTTCTTTTTGTTCCCTCATCTGAAAATTGTGTTCTGAAGATAGATTTTCATCTAATGAAGAGGCAAATCACCTTCATGATCAATTATTTTGCAGAGGAAAATGCCGAGTACTATTTGGACGGGTTACACGAATGAAAGCATTGCTGAGAGAAGTGGGGTTGAAAGAAGACTGTTGAAAAATAAATCTGACAAAATATCTTGTACCTTTGTTATGTCGGAAACTTTTCAGACAACCTTCATACACATCTTCAGATGACCCCTCCAAAAATCTAACGGTCTTCAATCGGGTGTACATGCGGGACATCCCACTCATCCACTTGGATGGATCCATCTTCCAAGACAGATTGCGTTCCAATACAAACGAACACGAAAAGTATAGTAAGATAGTGTACTATTTTGTTGACGTGTTAACCATGCATTTTCCTGCAATTTTTCGACATGAACTTTAGCCCACATGGAACTTGAAGGATTTTTAAATATTCGGATGCTGGTGTATGTCGAAAACTGTAGATAATTGACTAGTACTCAACATAGGATCATTTCATTACAGACGTGACTCAAAACAGAATCGTCAACAGATTATTTTTCCACCATTTCATTTAGAGGTTTTTTTATATGTCACGGCTGCTGTCTCCATGAATTTGTATACCGTTTTTTGGTTAACATACTCATTCGGGTTAACAACTGTGCTGTAATATCAACGTACCTACCGTTCAATTATCAACAAAGCAAAATAGCCTCGGCCATTATATAATGTAGGTGAATGGAAGGTAGATTATTATTTACTTCTACTTTCAAGGCAGAATTGTCAAACATTTTTTCATAAAAATGTTGCTTCTCTAGATAAAAAGAAATAGAATACTAAAAATTTGTCAACACAGAGACAGCTATAGCTACCTGACGTTTCTGCTATTTTCTGTATGGAAATGCTGTCTATCCCTGCTCGTAGCTCCACCGTACTGACGCGGTTAGCGTAATATGTGCGGTTTGCATAATATGTCCAAATTATCTTTATTTTTCATATATTTGTTACCTCATCATTTTCAAGCATTTCATTTCGAAATATTGCGAGAGTTGAACAAAGCTTTCACAGTCAGAAATTACTGTGTTGAGGTTAGCAGGTTTTTATGCCTGACGTTTCATTTACGACTGCGGTAAACTTCAAAAGCAATGCGGCAACGAGAAAATTTTTTCAACAACTCTGGCATACATTTTCATTCTTTGTTTACCTGTACACTATCAAAAATTTTCTGTGGAATTGATTTTTAGGGGGAAACTGAGATTGTACAGCTTCAAGTGTAACTCTCCTAACATGCTGTTTATCGATCGATTTCTCTGGGTTCATATTTTTCTTGCCATGACTACAGATATATATATATATATGACTGGTGCAAATGAGATTAATTTAGTAATTTTCTCAGCGAATATGAGAGAATATAATTTACTTTTCTCAGGCTCCGCTCCCGCTAATTACTGTTAATTAGTGTCAAAACCGGTGGGAAGTTTTATGATACATAATACTGTGCAACTTTTTTTGAAAACATGCATTTTATAGACGGTTATTATAAGTTGCAACTATGTTTCCTAGTTATGACTGTATACGCATGTTTTTGCAGAATCAGTTTATTTCATTTATTATATATTTCATATGTAAAGTTATTAGTAATTTGTAATGGAAACATAAAGATTTGTGCTTGTATAATTTGCTCAATTCATTGAAGAAAACTACAATTATACAAAAAATAGTGCCAGATCGGTTGGTTTTCACTAAAATGTTCAATGTCAAGCGAATGATCTGAGTAAATGACAAGATATGGTTAGGTTTCGCTAGTTGGAGTAAGCTTCGTCTGAAAATATTTTAAAAAGACCAATCCCACTTTTCTTCTTCCGGGGTAGAAGAAAACGTTCCATTGTGACATTTGAGCAAAAATAACGTGTCTGTATCAATGCATTGTTTATGAGTTGAATTCGAAACTTTTATTTACTCTTTACAATTCGAAAAGAGTGAAAGTGTTGAGGATCTTCATTTCACTTCTGAATTATCTTGTGTGATGATGAAATTTTTTATATTCAACTGCTTTCTCAATAGATTCTATCCTGAAATTTTCGGTATGAAGTGACAAATCTCTATTTGTAATTAATTTTTCTTTCTATGTCTGAAACTTTCTATGCCTCAAAACTCAGTTGACCTCCCATGACATTTCAGTCATATATGTCATTATTTCGATTTGAGAACTCAGTGACTCAAATATAATTGATGAAGTTTCGTTTTTTTAGAATCCTACAAATCCTACCATAGCTCTGGTTCCATCACTTACAATGCAGTAGTAAGCTCCAATGGTAGCATTCTAGGCTCAATTGTATCCTGTTGAAACTTTCAGTCGTGTAACTTATTTTAATTAACAGAAAAAACTTGCATAAACACAATGAACTGAAGTCCATTATTGTTGTTTGTGAATGAATTTACTGATTCCCATTTGTATAAATTGAGATTCTGCATACCCATACAAGAACAAAACAATAAACTTTGCTGACAGTATTTATATTTTTTCTATAGTCTTTTATTCTATATTATTCAAAAAATTTCAAAATTACAGTTATTTTCCATAACATTTTATCAAATGAGATAAAAATTGTCTTTCGTACCACATCTACCCCAATATACAGACGAATAGCCGCATCTTCGAAAGTAATTGACCAAATCATTTCGTGTGTTCCGTGTCCCCATTGAAAAGCTTCCCATAATGCATCCACTTTTTTTTGTAACAAATCCTCCAGAAATCTTTTATACTCTCCTG